CCCCAAAACCCCAAAACCCCAAAACCCCAAAACCCCAAAACCCCAAAACCCCGGAGTTATTTTAGGGTGTTGAAAATGGAGGATTTAGTAGTGAAGAATTTTGGGTTATTCTATCTCGCCTAGAAGAACACTTGAGTTGAAGATTGGATTGGCTTGGGTGACGAGAGTGGGTTCTTTGAGAGAAACTACTACATTTGGACCTCTGTATTAGAAGGTTAATTGCATAAAGAACTTAAGCAAAATATTAACCATTCATTAATTTTTTTCAAAGAAATTACAAAAATTATTAAGCTTACTTTAAATCTTTGTGCTCTAAGATATGAGAATTATATATGCTCTGTAAAGGCTCATTTTTATTTTTCTCCTAACAAATTTAACAGCTGAACTTACTCTTAACTCTGAATTTTTCGAAAAAGTCTCACTCGGCTGATGAGACAATTCTTGTGCGTACACAAGTCTTCCGTTCACCACCTCCGGTATGAGTTTGTTAGGGCCTAAATATGAGGAAGAAGTGCTACTTTCTATCAAAGATTCTAACTTTTCATGCATATTTCTTCGTCTAACTATTCTTTTTCTCTTGGTTACCTTTAACAGATTAAATAATTCAGATACCTTCTTCGAATAATCCTTGGAATCATAACTTCTGTGGTGTGAATCATTATACATAGTTGGGAATTTGCTGGCAATGCCCAGATTGATACCTTTGTTACCCCTCCTGGGTATGGGGAGTTCTAAAGGTTAGTTTCTAGCAGATACCTATATTTCTGGACTCTACCGGGACCCCATTATTGCCCCTACTCATTTGGTAAATTCGATCATTATTGAGGAGGATATCAGGAGAGTCATCATACTCAACTGTCTTATTTCGCTCGATATACTCTTTGTTATACTTCAAATAGGCATTATCCTTAGCTCCAGAGTTATAAACCTTGCTTGCCTCGCTCATATACTGTGCTACACTCATCTTCGACTGAGAGTTATTGCTGTTGCTTCTCCTTTTAAACTGCTTAGATTTCTGTTTGATCTGTTTTCCAATGGGATTTCCCTTACTAAGCTTCCAGCCCATCACGCCTTTCCGCTTATGAGGAGGATTTACTAGTATTTTGGTATCATCCTTTTTGCTATGTTCATTTTTAACCTTCTGGCCACATATGAAACTCTTTGGGAAGGAATACTTGTTGATAATATATTGATTATACTTCTCTGGTGCAGGGATCCCTGTGTTCATTTCAGTCCCACCCATCAGTGGACTTTCATCAGGCGTCATATTTTGTTCATTGTAGTCATAATACTCATTGATATAGATCTCATTCTTGCCCGTTTCGAAATTAAGAATTCTCTTAGGCTCTTTCTAAGAAAATAAATCTCAAAATTACCTTTAAGTTGCTGACATTAGTTGAAAATTCCTGGTACGAATTGCTATTCTCCCCACTCAGGTTTGCTAGCTTCGGAAGTTTCTTAATACTACTCTTAGACTTGATAGATGGAATTACATCAGAGTCACCATTGCTCCTTTTAGACCTATTATTAGACCTGTTAAACTTCCTCAGAGTGTTTGGAATCTTATACTCAACAGCTGCTTTTGCAACTCTTTTAGGTAATATAATGTCCTGGTTTATAACAGCATTATTCCCAGTCTTGGGCTCTTTCTGATCAGGATTTGCTGGCTTAGGCTTCTCTTCTAGCTTGGTGAGGCTTCGCCTCTCCACGCTATTAGTTGACCTATTTAGCAAAGGACGATCGATGGAGATCAATTTTGGACTAAACTGTTATTCAATAAAATACCCGTTGTTCATCTTGCTGTGATATTTTGGCTTAGACAGTTTATTTTAGCATAATATTCTCTTTTTCTGATCTAGCTTTTAATTAGAATGGTAATGAAATATCAAAGAAAGTAGAGATCTATGTTTGAGAAGACTTACTGGTCCTTTTCCACCATAGAGGGTTCCTCTTTTTCAACATAAGCTGATTCTTTATCCTCTGGAAGAAGGCTAAAATGCAAGTATGAAACTTCAAACTTCTCCAAAGAATCAAATATTCAAAATTTCAAAGGTCAGTTTCACCTCTCTCTCTTTCTTACCTGTAATCATCTTTAATGATTCTGACCTTCTTAGATAAAATACCGATGGATCCCTCAATGATGCCCATATATTTACTAGTATAGGTAATCCCACTAGTCATTTTTATTACTATTTTATTTAAATTTATAAGGACTTGTTAGGGGTTTTGGGGTTTTGGGGTTTTGGGG